TTACTAAGAAGAAACTTAAAAAAAAAAAAAGGTGACCAGAAACATCTCAACAAGATGAAGGTTGCTGACAAAAAGCATCTAGTTTCCTTAGCAACAAACAAGTCTGAAAAATCAAGGTTTGACAACGAAGTGGGAAGGATGGTATGATAAAGGGAAAAGCAGCTCTCATGTATGCACCTTGGGTACCCAGATTCCTCTGCTAATTCTTCTCTGTTTTCATCCTGTCAGTAAGGCAAATCTGTACGTTACTCTGAGTGGAAGGCAAAATCAATACCCTCAGAGAGCAGCTGGTATTACTACCCAACCTTTAACTCAAATAACTACAACCTCTAACAGTCATCATTTTTCATCCTGAACACTTCGCCTTTCCCTTACAATATTAAGATGAACCATTTTAACTACCAATAACAGGGTTTTTACAATGCTTCCACCTACACAATTTGAGTGCACATTAATCCGAGCTTAACTTCTAACATTTTAGGGGTCTAGAAACTGATGTTTGTGTGTTTTGTTTTTAAATGGCATCTTTTTCACAAGATTATAAAAACGGTCAAGTAATGTCATAGGTATGTTCAAAAATGAAAACTTTAAGAAATGTCTTATTTAGTAAATTGTAGTAGGGTGAAACAATAAGGTTAAAATTAAAAGATCTTGGTTCTGGCTCAATCACTAACTTTGACCAAATGATTTAACCTCTCTCTGCCTTTCTTCATTTATCAATGTAGGTAATTTTACTGACATGTGAGGAGTCCTATAAAGCATCATAGCATTTATAAATGTTTAGTAAATATCTGCTATGTTTTGGTTAATGAGGACTAGGAGATGGGCTTCATGTAACAATGGCTATAATAGGCATAGTATCTCCAGTGATTTTTTTTTTTTCCACAATGACTCCCACAAGTAGGTAAGTATCCCCATTTCATGAAATTGAAACAAAAACACCTGTTCCAGGTCCCATAATCAGCGGCTTAATTATAAACAGAACTCAAGTCTTCTGGGTCCTAATCTACCACCATGTTATCTCCAAGGTCCTTTTAACTTGAAAATTACTTCCAAATTATCCACAAGTTCAACTCATAAACGGTCTTATCAGTCTGAATTAAGCAAAACATATAAAAAACACGTAAAGTTACCCTGACCTTCCCTGAGGTAGGTATCGAGGGCATGAACTACCCTGTATGCCCTCAGTAGTAACTGAAATCAATACCTGTCAAGTTTACTGCTAATGTTTCATACTTACAAAATGATAAAATATAGGCTAAGTTCCCATTAACTGCTTCACTTCTCAATTCAGCTTGTGAAAATACATTACTTTCAGGTAGACATCCATTTTCCTAGGGATAAAGCATATTTCAATGATAATACACCTAGCTAAAATAATTTTGATATGCCATTCAAATTTCCTGTTTTCCCATTTCTTTATATCACTATTCTTAAAAAAAAAAAATTCATTTTCTAGAACAATACGTAAACGGAATAACTGAACTTCCGCAAAAGCTATGAGATGGAGTTCCAACATACCAAATTAAATGTTTATTTTCAAATTCAGATAATCTGTTACCCGTAGAACACCTTCCTTCTAGGAAGTTTACTATTGAAGGCACTAGAACAAATCTCTCATTAACAACAAAACAAAAATTCAATGCATTGATCTAAAATGATACTTTGCGGGGCCCCTGGGTGGCTCAGTCGTTAAGCGTCGGCCTTCCGCTCAGGTCATGATCCCAGGGTCCTGGGATCAAGCCCCACATCGGGCTCCCTGCTCAGCGGGAAGCCTGCTTCCCCCTCTCCAGCTCCTCCCTGCTTGTGTTCCCTCTCTCGCTGTCTCTCTCTGTCCAATAAACAAATAAAAATCTTTACAAAACAAATAAATAAAATAAAAATAAAATAAAATGATACTTTGGGACATACAATGAGGTAAAGATCAAATTTAATTTTATTTAACTCCAAAGGTTTAATCACGTGTCCCAACATCATCACTTGTTTAGTAACTTAAGTATCTGAGCCAAAATTCAGTTCCAACACATTTACTGAAGCACTGTATAATAACACAATATTTAAAACCACCCAATCAATAATAAGCAATAACTAAAAATAAATTATGGTATATCCATACAATAAAACACCATGCAACCATAAAAAATAATTGGTGGAATTACATACTGTAATAGAATGTGCCAAGTGAAAAAAGTAGGTTTTGGGAAAGTAAGAATATGTGGGAAAAATTATTTTTTAAATATAATTTTTAACAGTAAAATATGTATAGCACAGGCTCAAAATACTCTAAGTACTCAGGGAAGAGAAGACACTCAAGACATAAACTCTGCCTTTAAGAGGATTGTAATTATGCAATTATTTCAAGGAAAGAAAAGAACACTCTAAAAATATTAGAAAAATCTAGGCATTATGTAAATAACCACCTAGGAAACAGATCTTTTGAACAAAGTATTTCTTATTAAAAGTGTTTGGTGCTGGGCGCCTGGGTGGCTCAGACGGTTAAGCGTCTGCCTTCGGCTCAGGTCATGATCCCAGAGTCCTGGGATCGAGTCCCGCATTGGGCTCCCTGCTCCTTGGGAGCCTGCTTCTCCCTCTGCTTCTCTCTCTGTCTCTCATGAATAAATAAATAAAATCTTTAAAAAAAAAAAAAAAGTGTTTGGTGCTCTGCCATGTTGTTCCTAATTGTATAGCACTTTGCTTTGAAAGTAGAAAGTGCAACCCTTGCTGGTCCAATGCACTCTCCAAGTCAATTTCTTCCTGTGCCCCTTCATAAATGCCTTGCCTATTCTAATGGGAACAGGAAATGCTGGGTAGGAAAATAATGCCTTGGAGTCAAACAAAAGATTATTAAAAAAAAAAAAAGAGTAGTAAGTATACTAAGAGTGTACTATGAAAATTCATATACAAGTGAAAAGTAAAGGTCAAAAATTGAAAACTGCAGTTACACTGTAAAGTGGGACTAGGAGCATCCATTGTTTTATTTACATTTTTCCTGATACTGGCCTATTGTTTTCAACACACAAGAAAAGTGCTGCTTTACCTTTTTAAGTTTAACCACTATGGACTTTACACTAACCAGTATTTTTACAAAGCTTTAGAAAATTGTATACAGACAATGACCATTTTTAGTACTCAGCTTAATGACTTTTCTTTTCTTTTCTTTTTTTTGGTTACCACTAAACAATTAGGGAGGAAAGAAATCTCTTTAATTATGAAATTAAAACCACACCTGCTTGTACTCACCTGCAAAACAGCATGAACTGACCTCGCACTATCAAAGGATGGAAACACGTAATTTACGTATGTCTCCTGATCAGGACTTACTCCCATTTCATGCATTGCTTTGAGAACTTCGACTATACCTATAAGATTAAATTGAGAAGCACACAGATGAAGTACTTGGAATACATTACAAAAGATCAGAAAGTTCAGTTCATTTACTTTCTGAATCATAATGTACGAAAAACTACTCATTTTGTTTGTCTAAAAAGAGAAAGCAAAAAAGCAACAGAAGTGGGAAATAAGATGATAAATGAAACAAAAATTAATTCCTCCTTTCTTAATCTATTAATTCAGTAGCAAGGGCTAAGGAAATATTTTAGAAATGACAACTGTAAGAAAGTTTAAAATAATTAAGCAAAATGCCTAATGCTTCTGGCACCCAAATGAACAGAGATCGTAAAAACATCATTGCTATTACGGAGCAGTGACGGATCGACACAAGAAAACTGGACCCAGGGGCGCCTGGGTGGCTCAG